ACTTAACTACCTACTACACGTACACTAGTGGGTCGTGTAGTAGTAGTATTATTACTATATATATATATATATATATATATATATATATATATATATATAGAAAAAGTCTTCCCAACACCTCTAGGCAAAAATAAATAGTGATTTCGCCTAGATTCATCACCGTCAAAAGTTCATTGCGGATCACGATTTTTCGGTAGTATTTTATTTTTTATTTTTTATTTTTTTTTCTATAAATCAGAATGACCTGAAATTTGGAGGATATGTACATATTACTAAGATGCATCTAATAAAAATATAAAAAAAATATTATATTCAATTAAATGTTATGTTAGATATTATAACTAAATTTATATAGTTATATTATTAAAATATTAAATATTATTTATATAATAACACTATTCGGGTCGGATCCGCATGGACCTGGACTCGAATAGTATTCGGGTCCACTATTTGGACTCAGACCCAACCCGTCGAGTCCAATTCTTGAACACATATCCAAACCCAGGTCAGGTTCCTTGCCACCCCTAGTGTAAACAGGTCTGGTCAACTGCATCCGCAACCTACCAAGAAGACTCGGACAAGATTTCGTCCAATTAATAACATGGGGATTATTAATGTATAAAAAAAAAAAACTAGAGCTGATAAGGTTTTGAAGAAAAATTTAGACTATAGGTGTTTATCTTTCTTAGGGACTGCCACTCCACATCAATCTTTAAAATGGATGGGTTATGCCACGGGGTAATGTAATTATACGTCTCCCACGCATAAATCACTTTTCCATATATAAAATGAGGATTGTATACTATGAAACATTTGTTTGGTAGCAATTACTACAAGTCATTAATGGCAAATTGGATAGCTTGGCGTGTGAGATAAATTAGATATTTTTTATTTGTTTTTTTTTTTATTTTGAGCATAGTCAATGATATTTTTACGATCACTTTATTTAAAATCCGACGGACATAGGAAATTGCGACCTCTTTGTACCAAAAATAAATAGCCTCTTTGTATAGTTTTCCTATAAATACGGATAGTGATTTCACATCACTGTTTCAATATAATATAATGAAATTTCTCTTTTAATAAAATTATGTTTGTGGCAATTGTATGATTCCAAATATTACAAATGCATACTCTTCATCCTTACAATCTTAGCATTAGAAAAGGTCTCCTTCTCCAGCAAAGGATCCTTGTTGGATATGGAGATCTAGGCCTTGAAAATTTCGAAATCAATTTAAAAAAATATATTAATAAAGGATTGAAACCTTTTACAATATCATTAAAGGGGATGAAAGATTACAAATTACAGTTGAAAGTTACTTTTTAAATTTCTACATCAGGTTTGTCATCAAAAAATGTTAAAAATTATCCAAATTACTCTTATTCGATGTTGGGAAGCCAAAAACATTTGGGGCACTTAAACAATTTTACTCCCAATCATCATTCAATTAAGGCTTCTTTCAAATAAAATTATCAAAGTACCCCTAATTGTTCAGACTTTCCAAAGCCAAACGCGAACAATTTAGAAAACATTTATTATTATTTTTTAAAACATTATTGATTGATATAGAAATTTTAAATATACCTCAAGTATAATAAATAGTCATTCTTCACCAAGAGGTTTCAACCCTGTTATTGATATGGGATTATATACAAGAGACTATTTATCTTTGATACAAGGAAGTCACCATTATTTACAACCATCCGATGTGAACTCTGGTAGCATATGTGTCACAAAGTTCAAAAAAAATTCTATTGTAGTTTGAGTTTGGTCAATGGAATAAATGCAACCATCTAATTTCACATCCAATGGTTAAAATTAATTTTGATCATCTTGTACCAAAAATAAATAATCTGATTGTATACTTTTCTTATGACATGGTTTCTACAAGTCCATGTAGAAATGAGTCACCTCTTAAAATCTATTTTTTTATATGGATTTTTGGACCTAATTTTAAGGACATGTAATCTCTAACTTCATAGTCATGAATATGAAACTAAATAAATTTTAAAAATTAAAAATTAATTTTATTCAAAAAAAACATTTGAACAGTTGGTTTCAGTTGTTTTTAGATAAACTACCTATTTACTTCCATCTTTAAGATTGATGCTTTATATTTCGGGAACTGTAAATATAGAAATAGGGTCCCTGCCGCATGAAACAATTTTCCTTTTCCTATAGATATTTTCACTGTCTTTTTCAAAAAAATTAATTATTTAGTTCATCTACCATCGAGGGCCATTAGAAAATTTTGAAATTGAAAAAAAAAAAGCCCAAGTCTGTACATCTACGAACCCGACCTAGCCATTGAAGTCCGGTCATATAAAAGTCCACATACTACTCCGAAAAGTGGAAATCAAACGTCAGTCTTTGACCCTTCAAGACTCGAGGGGCATGCCCATGTGTTAAAAGTACGCAATCAAACAAACAAAAAGATCCTGTAGAAAAGGTTGAGACTTTGGATGACTCAATTATTTTGTTTTTTTATTATCTTTGGTAATTATTTAAGCCCAGCCGAACCCTTTGCTTTCGTTTTTTGTTTTATTTTTATTTTTTGCCTTATTTGTTTTGGGGTAGGGCTAGGGTCAATCCTGGCCAGGCTCAGCCCTTTGCCACCCTTCCAAGTAAGTTAGATTTATAGGAAAATCATTTCATGCGTTGGGGAACCCATGTGTGCATTTGTCTCCTTTGAAGTATAAAGCATCTATATTAAAGATAGATGTAAATGGATGGTTCATTTAAAAACAATTGAAACTAATAGTCTAAATATTTTTTTAATAAAATTATTATTTTTAAATTTTAATATTTATTTATTTTTATATTCATGATCTATATGTTAAAGATTATATTTTGTTAAAATTAAATCCAAAAATACATCATAAATATAAATTATTAAAAACTGTGTCCACACTCGTATGTATGTAACAAGGTATAGATCCATATCAAGACTAGCAACGGGTTCTTAAAAAAACCACAGTGAATCTGTGCAGCTTGGCTCTTATCCATGCAAAAAGAAAATAGATGAATTATATGGTTCCTGTTGCACAGATGATGATGTTTCTCAATCATGCAATGCCTTTATCGATATACGTTCCCGATGTTTTGACGGTAGAGAGAGACAATTTTTTGTGGAGAGGGAAGAAGGTAAGTTTTGGAGAGAGTCAGGGGATGTAGACAGAAGGAAAGAGGTAATTGTAGAGAGGGAGAGGGAGATTTCCCAAATCTAGAGAGAGAGAGAGTCAAGGGTTTTAAGTGAGAGAGCGATGGGGATGGACAAAACCTGTCGTGACGTAGCAGGAGGTGCAGGAGCCGGCCACGTTCATGAGGCCAATAGCCAACATCTCCTTGTTACCGTCCACCTGATAATTCTGCAACGCCGCGAAGGTCCGTCCCACTGCTATACCCTCCTGCAAGAAAATACATAAAATCACCCGCCTCAAGGTTCTCTCTCTCTCTCTCTCTCTCTCTCTCTCTCTTGTTTTGAAGCCCTTAAACTTACAGTTAGAGAGATAATTCCAGTCACGGCTCCTGTTTTCGCCACTAAACCCAAGTAAGTGGAATCAAAGTTCAGCATGTTCCATGAGGGTGGGTTTAAGCCTTCTTGCAAATGTCCAATCTGTTTTTACATGGCGAAGACAATGAATAAAAACACTATAAAGTTATTATCTTTATATTCTACTTCACAAAACATAAGAAAATCTCGAAGTTTTTTGCTTTTTTTTTTCTGAATGTTTAAGTTCTTCTCTCTTACTACGCTGATTCCGTGTTTCTGTGCTTTGAAGGCGAAAACCAGAAGAGTGGATATGATCACAGAGGCCAAAGGAGCCGCCGCTGAAACCCAAAACAGCTTCGGTTTTCTCATGCTCTGCATAAATAAAAAAAATATCTCCATTACGCAGAAAAGGAGAGACAAGATATTGGTCGAAAGAAATCTAATAAATATGAATTATTTAAGGTTGACTTTGATGCGACAAGCCAGCAATCATGTTAGAGTGAGAAAATCAATCCTTTTAATTCTGGGTTTGAATACATAATGCAAGGTATCCTACTCGTTTGTGACGATGAGGCTTACAATGTGTCTCGTTATGAGAAGAAAACCCAGGAAGCAGACGCCCATAAGGATTGTTTGCCATGCCCACTGTAGAGAGAGAAAAAGAGGGGGTTAAAAAGACTATTGTTTCTCATGATAATGATGAAGAAGAAGAGGAGGAGGTGAAAGAAAATCTTGAGGATCAGATAAAGGGTACCTCATCTCTCCTGTGAAACACCGAACCAATGACAGGAACCAAGCCCATATTATGAGTGAAATGTTCAATACCCAACAGACTCTTAAGCTGCTGAAGCGAAACGATAATGGCGGCACCAGCCATGAATCCGACCAAAGTGGCCTTAGAGAGAAAATCTATAATGAAACCCAACCTGCAAAACCAAAAACTCATACTCTTAACCCTTAACCATTCCATTTGCATGGAGCCAAATCAAACGTCAGCCGAAATGCCTGTACAATGAAACAAGAAAAAGAAAGAAAAAAAGAAACAACCACCTTAGAACACCCAATGAAGCCTGGACAACACCAGCGAAAAAGGTAGCCGTAAAGGCTAGTTGTAGATAGAGAACGGGTTGAGTAACAGGCGATACTTGTTGCCTTAACATGGCTCCTAATATGAGAGAAGCTATGGACACAGGACCCACTGCTAGGTCCCTCGAGCTCCCTAACACTGCGTAAACTAGTGGTGGTACAAAGCTTGAATCTACACGAAAAGCAAACCACCATCATTTGCATATTGGAAACCATTAAAACACCATCATTCACACATAGAGAACTGTAATTACAATGCAAAAATTAGAGAGAGAGAGGATTACAAAGGCCTATGATCGGGGGAAGGTTGGCGAGCTTTGCATAACTAATGCCCTGGAAAATAACGGCACATATAAGCCAGGTGTTAAACATAACACACGTTACAAGCAGTTCAAGAAAACGTTTAAGAGGCACCTGTTAGTTAGTATCAGTAAATGGTAATTACATAGTTACATAGAGAGAGAGAGAGAGAGAGAGAGAGAGATGGCGATTGAAATAACGCACCTGAGGTATGGCCAAACTAGCAATAGTGAGGCCAGATATGATATCAGACTTAAAGAGCTTAAAACTATAAGTTGGTCCCCATTGCAATATGGGGAAAACATACTGAGTTGTTAATAACCATTTCATACGAGTGGGTTGGCCCTTGAATTGCCTGAATGGGTCATCAGGAAAGAAGATCTCCTTCACTCTATCTCTAAACTCCAGCAAAAATGTCTTGGGTTGTGGAGCCATGACCTTGTGAACCTCCATTTCCATTTCTAGAGAGAGAAAACAGTTCTGGTTGGTATGGTGGGCATCCTCCATTGAGGAGAAGCAATGGCTCTCTTCAAAGAGACCAGAATTGTTGGTTAATGAAGAGACATGGCAATCTTCAACCCTATTTAAGGTACCCAACATGAGGTCAAATACCCTTAGGACACTACAAAACAAGGGGAACCCTACAAAAGGGCGATGCTAAAGTTGATGGGAATGCAAGGATCCTTATCGACTTTGCTTTGGGCTTGAGCCCCACATACGAAATGGATGAGATTTTAGAAAGGTTTCGGGATTAGGGCGGAATGAGTAATGGAAGATTGAGAAAGTGTTTAGAAAGGCTTTAGGATTGGTCTTTGATATGGGTGGGTGCAAGGGTGTTTTAATGGAGGTCGGTGAAGGGTGTATTGCGTTGGCATAGACGAGCGTGCCAAGAGCTTTGATGGTTCTGCATGTGGAGGGTGGAATAACCTATGGATATTCCGGTCCTCTGTAATGATGGTGGACTTATCTAAGCTTGTTATGAATTTGAGGAAGTGTGGGTTTTGGGGTCTATGATGTTTCAATTCAAATTTTAATATAACAAAGCGAAGTAAGAGAGAGAGAGAGAGAGAGAGAGAGAGAAATAAGAGTCATCCGTGATGTTTCGTTGCGCAAGGCTCTTGACTGGGGGTAATTGTATATTATATATAGGACAAGGCTTCGATGGTTGTGGTACCACCCATATTTAGTTACCACCTTGTTGTTTTCAATAGTTACCATTTTCAATCTTGTTGACATCACCTATGGTACTTTCAAAAAAGCTAGCTCTCTAACCTTTATGAAAAAAAAATGAATGGGGCTTGTCTTCTCTACTTAATTGCCCCAAAATGAAAAAACCGAGAGATAATTTTATTTTTGATACAGAGAGATAATTCTAGTTTTGATAATGTGAGAGATTGGCATAGATCGGGCGGTTAACGGTTAGAGAGTTTTAATAGTCTGATCTAACCGAGCGGTTAGCTGTTAGATCGGACGATTTTATGAACAATAATATAGACCCAATACATTATTAATTAGGAGATGCGATTTTGTTCAAGCCAAAGGTTCCAAAAGATAGGAAGAAAGCCCAAAAAGATATAGATAAAAATAGTGAAAAAATATATAAAAACTTATAGTTTCATTGGTGATATGATCATTGATAAAGTAAAATAACATAACGAATTTTGTGTAGTGGATCTCAAATAATTGAGATGTTCATAATTTGAGAACAAAAGATGCCTCTACGATGTTTAAATGGACATGACAGAGGAATTGACCATTCGAACTTTGATACTTTGAAGAGGTAGAGAAAGAGAGGGAGAGAGTATGGTGTTGATGCACAAGGCGGTTTTTGATAGGTGGGGAATGGGGCCATTCGCACTTTGATACTAAAAACTTTAGTACCACAAAAGGAGATGAAGTTCACAAAGTAGAGAGAGAGAGAGAGAGAGAGTATGTATGCCCATTAACTTTTGTGTCTTTACTAACTTTTAGTTTTATGGTGCAGAGAGAGAGAGAGAGAGAGAGGTGAGTGATTGTGGTTCCCTCATGGCACTCGGTGAGGCGTAGAGAAAAGACATTTGTGGGCGAAGGGGCGGAATCTAGGCTTTTTGGTGCGCACCATGTGTTGCCACATGTGCTATTGCGCTCTTTAATCCTTTTTGTTGTTTCACTCTCTTTGTTGTCGGCAAAGTAACGTATGGAGCTACTGAAATGCTCTCTGGTGAAACACGTCGTTGAATTAGCACGCATGCACCGTCCTACAAGATGGGTGGTGGAGATTGGAGCAAGCAAAGAGAACGACGGTCGAGATTCGACGACGGAAAAAGCTTACTAGAACATTCGAATTGTAGTGGCAAGATGGACCACAAATAATATCCGCCCGATCTCTCAATGAAAACGGTTTACTTGGGCTTGGTATTGGTATTGTTGCAGTTTTATACTATTCAGTGGGTTTTGGCCGGTTAGATTGGTGGCAATTTGTCAAAATACCCATTAGACATTAAGTATTTAACATTTTTCCTATTTACAACTATTTAATCACAAAGATAGTGTGTCTTTCTACGGGTATTTTACACAGAAATAAAAAACTCAGCAAAGTGTTAAATTGTTTCTCTTATAGATAATTTGATAAATTTCCTGTAAATAAGGTTGGCCTATTTATTTAAGCAATATTTTAGATTTTGAACTATTATTCTTTTTAAAATCTAGTTCATCTCATTTGGTTAACAATCTGATCAGTTTTACTAAACCAGACTTCTTCCTGGTTGAGTTGCCACCAATCTACCTGTTATCTCTAATTTCACCCCCCAAAACATAGGTGGCATTACTAAAAAGTGTTTGAATTTGTGATTGGAAATGAAAGAAAGGGAACTAAGGGGCCGTTTGGGTATATGGAAATCTATCACGCGACAATAGATTACCAGCAAATATGACATTTACAATGTATAGGTATATTTAAATATTAAGGAAATGGAAAGACATTAGTCGAGATTACCTGAGATTTCTCCAAAAATCACTAAATCCATTACGCACGGTGAGAGGTCAAAAATCTATTACGAGGTTCACGGCTAATCTTTGGAAATCTTTATGCATCTCCGTGCCCTATCCCCACTTAAAAAACATTTCCCTCTCTCAAGTATAGGTTGTATTGTATAATTATTAAGGTGAGTAGAAAGTGAAAGTAGAGAGTATGAAAAAAGGAATCTAAATTGATTTGAACAGGTGTACGAGGACAATTTTCTACTGTAATCATAATAAAAAATTTCTACATCCCTCTATCCCCAATTTGGTTGTAGCCTTCATCTTGTATAAAAGCAAAATTTTTTAATAATTGGTAAGTTAAAATAAGAGGAAATTTAAATTGATTTGAATAGTGTAGAACTTGATGAGGGAAAATTTTCGACTGCAATCATAATAAAAAAATTTCTACATCCCTCTATCCCAATTTAGGTCGTAGAAAAACAAAAGTTTCTAATAAATAGTAAGTGAAAGTAGGGAAATTTAAATTGATTTGAACAGTTGTAGAACTTGATGAGGGACAATTTTCTACTGCAATCATAATAAAAAAAATTTGTACATTCCTCTATCCCCAATTTCGTTGTAGCCCGTCATTAACTCTTATATAAAACAAAAATAATAATTGGTAGTCGACAATCATAATAAAAAAATTCACACAACATAATCCTCATAAGATATTAGTAAAAGCTCAATTGAAATAAGATAAATCTTTAGTCTCCTCCAATGTTTCAAAATTTTCTACTGCAATTACAAAACCTTCTAATTTACTAATCAAACTTCTTCTTATATTATAACTTGTACCATAAATATTTTGATTTTGATATCATCAATTTATTGCTTTTTTGAAATTATATATAGAGAGACATTTAAAAAACTTTTATAAAAAATAAATAAAAATAAAGCTTATCACAATAAAATCATGTTTTTCCAATCATATTATTTTAATGACTTATCATGTTGAAACTAAAGTCTAATTATGTAGCCAAACATAGCTATATTTTTCATATTTGGATGGTAATGCATTTCTCATATTTCTTCCATACATAGCCAAACAGTAATAATGTATTTTTCAAGTTGTATCTATATACTACCAAACAGTGACAATCATTTGCAAATAATGTATTGCACAGTAATATATTACGCCTGTATTATATTTCACAGACAATATATTTTCAGATATCCAAACGGTCCCTAAAGGTTTGGGACTAAGATTTACAATGGTTATATTGTACTAAAGTGGCCCATGATTAGTTTAGATGGTTCCCTACTTGTGGTAGTTGACAGTTGAAAGATTTGGGTCATGCCAAAGGATAAGTTGGAGCACAAACGTGGGACCCAAGGGATTCAATTGCTTTATCTCTCCTCTTTCAAATCCGTTTAATGATTTAGATTCCCCTCATATTTCCTTCTTTGCTAGTGGAAGTGCTGGGAACCAGGAATCCTACGAGATAAAGTACTTTATTATTGAGTCTAGACCATGAAAGCACCTTTGATGTAACCAGCCAACTTATTCAGTGACGCCTCTTTTAGTAATAGTGCCTAATGTCGTCCATAATAGTAAGACTTCTCTATTTAATGTTAACATGTATTTTTTTTTTTAAGAAACAAATTGTCGTAATACATTACTGACATAATATATTACTTAGAAATGGATTGTCGATGTTTGTGTAGTATTTGGATGCAACATGGGAAATACATTGCTACTATATAGCCACGTCTGTGAAAAATCTCAAAAATGCATTATTGTCTTCTTCTTTTTTTGTACTGTTCAAATTGATTGATGACTCGATCCAAAGTTTGAAGGCTTAGCACTTATCAATTTGGAATAATGATTCATAAATTATTAATCAAGAAAATGATTTTTCATGGAGCATGCATAAGGAATTCTAAAGACCAACTCGAACCAAAAATAAAAAAATAAAAGAAATAAAAGATATTAACTTCCATTAAAATTGCATTTCATATATCTTGAAATTTGCAAGAATGGACCCTCCTTTGAAAGAAACAGGACTTCAAAAGGCTTGCAAGAAAGAAATAGAAAACATTTCAAGCAGAGCTTCCATTAAAAATTATAAAACATTCAGAAATATGTAAGAATGGATTAGCTTTTGCAAGAATGGACTTGCCTTTACAAAAAGGGAAAAGTTTATATAGAGAGGTTATAAACAATCAAAATTGAACCTACCTCAAAACTTTCATTAGAAGATGTTGTTTTGATGCTAAATATCTTCAAATTGATCATCTCTCTATCAAGATGCATGGGCATGAGAAAAATATGGATTTCAAGTTTGAGAAATAGTGTATTTTGTAACGTATTTTCGGATCATCATTTTTCAAGATTTTCAAGTTTTCATAGATCTGTCGATCTACACTATTTTTTAAGATTTAAAATTTATATCTTCAAATTGATCATCTCTCCATCAAGATGCATGGGCATGAGAAAAAAATGGATTTCAAGTTTGGAAAATAGTGTATTTTGTAACGTATTTTCGGATCATCATTTTTCAAGATTTTCAAGTTTTCATAGATCTGTCGCTCTACACTATTTTTTAAGATTTAAAATTTATAAATAAAGATAAAAATATATTTTATGGCTATCAAACAGAGTTCCAGTATTGAAACCACATTTCTCGACACTATTTAAAGGTAGGCTCTAATTTTATTGTTTAGAGTCTAGGCTCTATACAAACTGTACCCAACAATGGTCTACCTTGTAATCGGACTTCAAATGGATTTCTCTCGATTTAATAGAGCATACGGGTCCGACAGGGAATAATTACCGGTCACTCCCCATGATTCATAATTTTATTGTTTAGAGTCTAGGCTCTATACAAACTGCACCCAACAGTGGTCTACCTTGTAATCGGACTTCAAATGGATTTCTCTCCATTTAATAGAGCATACGGGTCCGACAGGGAATAAATTACCGGTCACTCCCCATAATTCATTTCTCATCTATCTCGCCAGAAAATGAATTTCATGATTTTTTGGGCCATTCGCCGTA